GTTGCTTTAAAAAAAAACACTTTAATTTCTTTAAAAATAAACAGAAATCTTGAGACGCTTTAATCGCTATTTTGATATCTTGTTTCTTCAAATAGCAAAGCAAACCAGAGGCTGTCGAAAACTTTTGAATACAGTTAATATCCTTCCTCCATAAAAATTGTAAAATTTATGGGCGGCTGCTTTACAGAGACATTTGCACCTTTTCCAGGAGATGGAGTGCGCAGCCCTGCAGAGTCTGCTGTTCTGCATGCACGCCTTTCTAACGGCCAAGGTAGCCTCAGTGGACCCCGCCTTCCTGAGCTCCAAGACCCCGCTGGACGCGTTACCGGCCGCGGTCACCATGTAAGCGGTGGGCACGGCACCCTTCCTCACCCTCAGGCTGCAACCTATTCCAAACAAAAAGTCTCACGTTAAGAAAAAAATTTCTAACGCGAGTCGCGGTCTTGCATTTCCTAGAGCAGTCGACTGAGCGAGAGGGATGACACTTTGCTGCAACCACTATCACACCACCACTTTCACTTTGATCTTTTCAAGCAAATACAATCAAAACGCCGACGTCTCTCTCTGGAAGCACACTCGTGTACAATGTTTGCAGTATTTTCTGAATAGTAGTTGCTGTTTAAACAGGAGAAAGTGTGTTCATGGCCATAAGATAGGTACTTAGTAAATACTGTTTACATGCCCATACTCGGGTTTCCCGACTGTACAGAGGAAATCGTTGTTTCTTTTTCAGTACTTTTTCCTTTATCAATTGTTGCAAAGAAGCGTGAGATTTATTGTGCAAGCCGGACAACAGGCGCTTAATCATTAATGAAATGAATTAAGAGCACGCGTGATATTGTCGCTCGACGCGTCCGTGCAACAATATCCTATCTGTTTCGCTGCCCCGAAAGACTAACCTATCTGTTTCGCTGCTCCGAAAGACTAGCCTATCTGTTTTGCTGCCCCGAGAGACTAGCCTATCTGTTTTTCGGTGCTCTCTGCAGCGCTGTCTTCTTCTTATTGTGGATTTGACAATATCAACGGAGAAAAAAAGTAAAAACTGCTGCGTGTTCCTTAAAGATCAAGGAACAAATAGCAAGTTTTACTTTGTTTCTCCTGTTAATATTAGCAAAACTACAACGAAAGGAAGACAGCGCTGCAGAAAGCGCCGAAAAACAGATAGGCTAGTCTTTCGGGGCAGCGAAACAGATAGGATATTGATGCACGGACGCGTCGCGCTCTAGTTAAATTTTATTCTTAGAACCTGATATGACATGTAAAGAATTGTAATGAGCATAATGAGGAGCTCTTAAACACCCTACCTTTACATCTTTCTCCGGACAGCGAAACGCTATGAGCTAACAGTCATGTTCACCGCAGGATTAATAGTCAATTATTCTGTTCTTCGGCAAAGTCTCGTTTCTTTTTCTACCTTCGTTTCGTATGTCGGTACGCGCGGCAGAGCGCTTGACAGAGACACCAAAGACTTTTGGAATTATGTGATTCTTGTATTATTAGAATATAATAAAAAAGAGGTCGTTCTGTAAATAAAGCTGAAGCGCTAAGATTGTTACCTAATAAATATGTGAAAGTTTTTTAATCCTTCCTAGTGACGGTGGACAAGTCGTATGTCGTATGTGTTTCCAATAGTTATTATTATTATTAGTCAAACGATTTATTGTATCATATTTGTTGTACAATGAGATTACAGCTTTATTAAAATAAATACAAAATGTTTCTGTTGTTTCGTCGAATCCACAAACATGTGCGACATATACCCCGCGGCTGTGAGTGCGGCAGTGACAGTGAGCGGGGGGTAGCGACGTGAAAGGGAAGGCCACCTTCCACAGACCACATCGACTTAGTTTAATGGGCATATCCCCAAGTATCTAAAACAATCTTAAAACCTGTATTGTTTAGGATCCCGCAAGGTCTTACATGTATGATGTTCCAGTAATACATGAGATTTGCTTTCTATCACACATACAAGCAAAACATCTTAAACGATTATAAAAGTTAGTTGCACCTAAGTCTCGCACTCCATTTAATGTAGAGACAATTGTTGTGTAATACAGGAATTCATTTCACCCGAAGGGAATGACAACGCGGAAGGTTTCCAAACCAGTATCACTTTCCATTAATTGAAGGTCAAAATACGAGGTTTTGCAACAATGATGATTTTGCAAATATTTGGGTAAAATTTTTAGCACTTTTACTTCCGCATTCGTCATCGGATCCGAAACGAGTCGAAAAACAAAAGGACAATTATTATGAATCAGCTTTGGGGACTATTGGATAATGTTTTGCGAAATGTCTGATTTTTTACTGTGAGAGGACAATGTGAAACATTGTCGTACCGGGTGCAGGAAAATTTTCAGCGGAAGTTGTTGTACAATTACAATACAAAATTGTAAAATTAACAAGCTATGCGTATCGACTTGGAATCGAATAACGAGCAACGCATGTACGACTCGTTCTGTAAAGGGCAGATCACAAAATGGATCGTACAAGTACAAATATATTTTTCACAGTGGATAGTGTTTAAGGGATTTTGTTGGGCCTCCTAGAAAATCGGAGAAAAATATGTTCCTTGACACTGTTAAAGTGAGCGTATTTGCTTGGGGCAGGTCCGGCGGGGGGCGTGGCTGCCGGGGCGAGAAAGTGATGGGGCGAGGGGGCGGCCGCGCGCCGCGCCCCTCAGTCGACCGCCAGCCTCCGCACCACCCGCGTGCTCCACCGGGCCCAGCGCCGAGTCGAGCCGGGCCGAGTCGAGCCAAGCCGGGTGAACCTGGTGCGCGGCCGAACGTGTTGGGATGGAGAGAAGACGTTAAACTCTTTGTAGCTTCGCTTGATGTAATCACGTGATGAGACCTGTGAATTTACCTTTGATTTTACCCGGAGGACTACTGGTGTCACGGCCAGTGATGAGGCTGCTTTAAGTGCCGTCGTTGTGCCGGGAGAGCCGAGGAGACGCAGGTGAGGACCCTCATCATCAATCATTTCCCTTAGCCCACAGTCAGTTTTCTGGAAGGAACAGAAAAAAAGGGCTTGAAGGCAAGCATTTGATGGTTAAGATTACCGACAAATCGCATCAAAAGGAGTATTATCATCACCACTACAATGTTAAAAATTTGTTGGGATTTCTCAAAGATTCACTCTTATTCATATTTGGAAAAGTCAACAATAGGGACTTTGTTTTCAAGTTTGAAGTGGTTAAGTAGTTACAAGCAGGATAAACGATGGTGAAGGGAAGCGCGTTATTGGACACTTATTCCTTACAGGCCCGATTCGGCATCAATTAAAATACTCCTCATCAATTTTTACAATCGCGCGATTTTTCACCACAACAACGACCTTGGATTCTACGAAGCAATTCGTACGAAACGGTGTTTTGTATTCGATTGAAATCAATTAATGCTATTACACAAATTAAGCAAGAAAATTTCTTGAAAGCTCTATAAATTTTGTAACAGTGTTTTCTGTAGAGCCTTATTCTTCTAGAAGCAGGTTAGCTAGAGACTTGAAATTTTCAGGGTATCGTTGAAGTTGCTACCATAACTAAAAGGTCTACACCCTGGAAATCACTACGAAGGGAATAGGAGTTTAAAAAGAAAAACGTTAGGCAAGAAAATATGAAAAAAAACAACAATAAACTAGTTTTGCAACCAAATTTTGTCCATTTGCTCTCTCTCCAACCGTTTGAGAGACTGGACGGTCTCCGTTTGGCACTTCGCAGACACCGGGCCTGTTGCCCTGCCGGCGGAGGCATTTTCTTGGACCTAAGGACGAGCCAATAAGCCTGCTCATACCCGTCTGCAATGAAAAAGAAAAGGGAAATTATAAATAAAAAACAAGAAGAGCTCTTTCAGCTCATATTCTTTACATTTACAAAAAATTCTGTAATTCAGTAATTCTGTCTCTAGCTCCTATACGCACATCCAAAACGCAATTTGGTCCAGATGACACTGTTTTGGGGGGTACTTCCTCCACTAATTTTCGATTTGAGGCTGTCTTGTACGTCCATTGCAGGCCATTGTATAACATCATTTCCGGCTTACTTCAGCACGCAAATAGACATCGGTATGGTGTAGATGGATAAAAACCTGCAGATTTTAGCGAACATGAGTTGTGTACCACAACTATAATTGCCTACCCTCAGGTACTTCCCGCCACTGAGAACCTCGTTGGCAGGCAAGAGGGCGGCAGCGATGAGCCACAATTGCCTAACCCCCAGGCGCTCCCTGCTAACAAGCTTCATCGTTCATTGCCCCAGACAAAGCGGCGGAGCGGTTGAAGTCACTGCGACCAGACAGGAGGCTGGCATGTGGGTCTACGTGGGCATTCTTCTCTTTTAGTCTACCACATTGTGAAAAAAATATCCTCGTACACTTACGATATACTTTCGACTGAATATTTACGTCTTTTTTTCTTTTGTAAATTTTTGAGACCCTAATCTAGCTTGTCAGTAAATTCCAAGTCGATACACAGTGCTTGTAATTTTACACTTTTTAATTGTAAATTTATGATGCACGGAAGTTTTGCCGTAAAACCGACAACAAACAGGACCGGACTTACGGCTAATAACCAAAACAAGTTGTGAATCAATAAAAAAATATTACTCCCTGAAGTCAACTAAATATTTGATCAAATGATCTTAAGAATTTTAATCAAATATGATCAAGCGAACAACAATATTCTCATGTCAATCACACCACAACATAACTAACAAGGGAACCTTATCAGGTTTAAATCTCCGATTTCGTTGAAACTTGGAAAATTTGAAGGTTATTTATGTAGCAATCGGATGGCACTTGAATTTTTTTGTGAACCCGACAATTAGTTTTACCCTATGTAGAGTAGGAGTATCGTTTTTGAAAAAAGATATTTTTGAAAAATGTAAAGTAGTGCTTTAAGGGGCACTCTGAAAAAAGTAGGTATAGGTTTACAGGAAAATTTTCCTAGACGCAAGTTGTAAGATAACAATTTGTAATAGTAAAAATACATGTAGTATGTATCGACTTCAAATCGCTTGGCGAGAAAAAATGTGATGTCGTAAATTTACAAATTAAATTACAATTCGAGTTGACAAAGTTTTTGTAAATTTACGACGATATTTTGCACAGTTGGTAACTCGTCGAAGTAGGGCCCCTAGCACCAAAATTTTGTCCGTTTCGCTCTATTTTGTACCGTTAAGGCGGTAAAGGAATATTTTAGACAAAAAGCAGTAAGGCTTAAGTAAACTAGTGTGAGGTTCAGGAAAAATTTCAAATGCCATCCGATTTCTACATTAATAACCTTCAAATTTTCCAAGTTTCAACGAAATCGGAGATTTACCCCTGAAAAGGTTCCCTTGTAAATCATGAAATCAGGGCGAGCAAAATTTGTTTTACGGAAGTAAATTTCTTTTGGCTTATCCATTTTTGTTCCGCGGATCAAATGGTTGTCTGAGTGCAGAAGCAGAACAGTACATGGAATAGAACGCGACAGGACCCCACAGTGACGAGCATAATTCCGTCTCAGAACCACTCATTTTGTCATGAGATATCAAAATTTCTCGCTCGCTTCGCGCCACTGTCCTTTTTTTTATATATATATCGGATGGAAAAAATAATCATAACTACGGACGCCAAATCAATGTAGTCGTAGATGGTCTTTTTCAATTTATGCATACAAGCTGAAACTAAGTCGATGTGCACGGAAATCAAAGTTTTCGCTCCCTTCTCGTCTCCAGTGTGGCCTGTCAGCCTTGAGAGGGGCTTAAAGGCGGTTAGCCCAACCCACCCCTTCCCAGCGCCTTTGTGGGCTCATATCAACGCGCAGGGTGAGAAGCGTGCCGTCATCTGAGGAACCGAGGAAGAAGGGAGGCACCTAAGGCTAAACATCGAACAAAGGCAACGACGAATTGGCTCAGATGTGACTATACTTATTTGCGAAGGTTTATATCTTCGTTCAATTTCCACCTCTTCTAATTATAAAGAAAATAAACGCATGGCGTGGCGGTGTGGTGCCCCGCGGGGCGGGCGGGCAGCATGATCAGGGCCCATCCATTACGGTGAGCGATGCGTTCCCACGGGGCGGGCTGCGTGCGAGCAGCACAGCCCTTTCTCTGTCTCTCTCTCACTTTCTCGCCCCCGCCCCCACTCCTCTTTGTTTTCCAGCCCAAACGCTCGAAAGCAACGGAGACCATGAGCGTATGTGCACACACACACACATGCAGAGAGCTCAACAGCAGGCTGGGGTGGGCCAGCGCCAGCGGTGCACCACAGGCCAGGTCCAGCTGGGGGCAGCGCGGGGTGTGGCGGGGGCGGGCCGCGAGGATTAGCAGGGGAATAAGCATTTTTTTTACGTGGGCACATTGGAAAGTAAAATTGCAGCACCTACCAATGTTAATTAAATACACCCAGGAAGAGTTTTCAAAGCATCGCTTAGTATTTCAAAGGATTTGCTTCATAAGGTACGAAGAACACGACTCACGGACATCGACTATTACAAAAGACCGGCGTCGTACAACTTATATAGCACTATACTTGTAATAGGGAGCGCATTTCTTGTAAAGAAAAAGAGTGAGGTGCCTCGTTGCAAAAAGGAATGCTACGCCAGAAAATGCTTTGTAAGATTTTAACAGGGAATTTAATTCCAAAAAACAAATCATGACATATAAAAACCCTGCGAAAGTATAAGTCTCAATGGGTGAAAATATAAGACAAGGAAGACAGAGCACCCGAGGGGATCCTCATCTCCAGCGTTCTGCACAAGTTGGCCCCTCTCCACTTCCAGACAGTACCTGGAGAGATGCTGGAGTCTGGCAGGGTCAGGGAGCAGCGGTGGGGAGAGAGAACAGTGCGGACGGGGAAAGGGAAAGGAGAAAAGGGGGCAGAGGAGGGAGGGGGGAGCGCTAATTGGCGGAATAAAAAGAAGGCGTCGGGAGGGAGCGAAGGGTGACAGGGCCGAGGGAGCGGGTGACATGGGGGGTTTGGGTACAGAGAAATGAAAAAAAAAAAGATGTGAAGAAGTTTCAGCGAAGCAAAAGGAAAGGAAGGGTATGCGTCTGTTTGAAGAACAAGAGTGTTGACTAGCCCCACCCTCACCCCCCACCACCTCACCCCCCGTCCAATCACTCTGCCGGCTGGGGCTCGTACTGACTGCTGTCCTGCTGTCGCTCTAAACATTCTTTATTAAACCATTTTTTTTTTAAAGGAAAAAAAACTCTGGAGAGTCCAATGAAGGAGATCAATGCATCCGTTCGATCGCGACAAAGCGATAATAAGCAATTGGATTCGTCAAGCGAAGCTAAGTGTTCTTACGCTGCCTGGCCTGGCTCGAGGGTTGTCCCTGTCCCTGGGCTCCTTTTCGCTCTTCTTACTTTCTCCCGATTACCAGGCCCCCGCCTACCACGCCTCGAAGACCACTTTGATGTTGAGCGCCACTCCTTTTGCTAGCACGGCTAGGCTTGTGCTTTAATGTAAAACATTATGATAATAATTAAAATACAGTCTATAAGGATTGGCAGACGACCTTCGGAGGCACCGTCCTCCCCTGCTCTAGTCCCAGCTGATGTCTCCTGTCCTCCTCAGGACCGCGCCGCAAGCCCGGCGCTACGCGGACTACGTCTAGAGAGACTGCGATTTAGAGGGTCCTTACTATAGCCTACATCTAGAGAGACTGACTTAGAGCGTCGCTAGGCTAAGTGTAGACAGACTATACGACTCAGAGAGTCTCTAGGCTGGTGCAGGCGGGCGTCAGCACCCCCTCCCCCTCCCGGACCAGCAGTCGTAACGCATCAGGGTATCGGGGCGGCAGATCCACTGCTATCTGTAGCAAGGGACCGACTGGGTCGGACAGAGGAAAAGAGAGAGAGAGAGAGCGGGAGGAATTGACTCGCACCACTCTGCCGCAATAACGAGACTGTGTAAAACCTCCTCTATCTCCCCCCTCCCCCC